TTTTTTCCCTTTTGTGTATATTTGGCTATATAGATATACGTACTTGTTTATATATTTATATTCTAGTTGGGTGGCGAGTAGCAAAAAAAACTTAATTATATGTGGCTATTGTAAATTTCGTATATTTTATGGTACGGGTGGTCTCATATATCACTGTCTTGTGATAGTGTATAGTGTGCATAATATTGCATGAGTTTTGCATAAAGTGTGTGGGGCACCTTATGTTTATGCATCGACACACGGTTATCGACTTTGATTTCTCTGCTCGCATCGGTGTGTTGTCATTTTGTTAATTTGTGTAATTACACGGCCTGCCACCCAAAACAAAAGTAAATAAGTAAGGGCAACCAAAAAAATCGCAGATAGGAAGTGGGCTGGAACGCCTGACAACTTGATTTAAGGTAACTAAAACCATGCATAGTATTTGTTGATGAGCCTTGTAAAACAATAAATTATAGGTCCGGAGCAAATCGGCAGCAGCAAGCTTATGGAAATGGTGCGCGTCAAAGATTGGGCGGACTACGAGGCGCTGCCACTTACAACTGTAATTACGGAGTACTGAGCGCACTGAATTTAGTTGTACATTTTGTAAATAGTATATATGTACACAGAGATTCACGTTTACTTATGTGTGTTTAAATGTACTTTTATATTTTTAATAAAGAGTCAAGTTAACTTAAATTAACAAAAAAGGGCCGGCATGTTTCGTTTTCGTATTGCACCGAACTCTTGAAGAAATAAACGAAATGAAATAGTAACGTGCATTATAGTTTATTTTCGTACACAGATGCTTCTATACATATGTGCTTGGGAGTATCACAACTTAATGCTTTATTTGAAAATTACTAAGTTGGCGGGCCCTTCAAAATTTAATAACTCATGATTTTATTAAAAAGAAAAGCACATTTAATACGCTTTGCTTTGTCCCGAACAAATCTAAGTAGTTCGCCGGTATCGAGTTGCGTAGTAGATTTTCAGTTTACCGATCGTAGGGGAGTCCGAACCCTGGCTGCGCTGTCAACCAAGAGCGTAAATTGAAATTTACGTTCTTGTATTAGAGATGTGCTGAGTCCACACATATGAGTACTCATACCTACTCGGTACCTATTTAAAAGTATCCAATACTTTCGACACTCGGTGTCGGACTATTATACAACTTCTAACAAAAACGACAGCCAAACGTATGGAAGCAATTTTTTTTGAGATAAAGCTCATTAACGAACTTTGAGGCGATGTCTTACAAATTCCAACTGGAATAAATAAATGAATATGTATACATATATATATATATATATATATATATATATATATTATTATTATTTTTTTTTTTTTTTTTTTTTTTTTTAAGGGGCTATGCACGGAATTCTTTGTGAGTACGGAGTCCACAGCGCCCTCAGGGGGTACAGAACAAAAATTAAATAACTGAAAGTCATTCGTTGTCGAAATTTCAGAGAACGCTTCATTTTTATGTGAACCTTTATTATTCTTCTGCAAAAAAAAAACAAAATGGATCCGAAATTGTGCGACAGGTGATTTACGTGTACTTATATTACTACTAAGGTATATTGCATTGCATCGGTATCGGTTACCAATACCGAAACTTTGGGTACCGAGTATTGGGGCAACTCTGCACATCACTATTTTTTAAAAAATGACACTTTCATTGAGGGCAATTGCAGCACATATCACAATTTCCTGAATGGCCCGAGTGATTATGATGCGGTAAGTTGCGTATTTTTCTAATAGTATTTAATGTGATAATTTTTACCTTCTACTTTTAGCTTTCCTTGGAGATATTCCACCCAAAACCCTCATTCATCCAAGTACGGCACATTTACAACTCGTAATCGAGTTCGCCTGAAGGATGAATGAGGAATTTTAGTATGATGAATGGAAGTGCGTGGCTCTTGGGAACTTCGGGTATGCAGGCGATACTCGCAGCACAAATTCCTCTCGGAAAAAGCCAACCATTAAGTATCGTGAAATATGAATTAATATAATATGAATCTTTTATGTAAACCCTATTATCTTACTAATATCTTTTCGTTTCCATTTCAGATGATGCTGGATTTAGCTAAAAGTGGTTGCAACATCGCGCACGACAAATCACATGCATTTGGCCAAAACTTCTGTATCGATTGTGCGAATTTGAAGTCTTGCAGGATCTGTGTCGCACAGATAAACCTTGTGTTCCAAATTTTATAGAAGATCAGTCCTTTGACGAAATACGATGGATATGTTATGAAGCTAAAAAAAAACTGTTTCGATCAGTTCGTTAAACAATTCGCCAAAGAAGCCATTGAAGCTAATAATAAAATGAAAACAATGGCGCAGATATCACCCCATGTAGTAGATATTATATGCCGATTGTATGATGCAACTTCAGAAGCCGCCACAAATGTGGGTTTGACTAAAAGTAATAAAACTAATCCATTTGGCCTTGAAATTAGCGTTGCCAGTGACACAGCATTGATATTTAAAAAACCTGGCGCTACATCCAGCAGTGATAAAAATTTTGGTGATGCTTTTAACGATCATGGTCATACTACCAATGCCGGATGCGTATTTGGCGGAATGGCACCTTCGACTCCTGGAGGAATCCTTGGTGGAGGTCAGTCAGCTTTTAATTTTCAAAATCAGCAGTCTTCAGTTTTTTCTCAACAGCTTCCAAATGCTAGTTCCATATTCGGAGGAGGCGCCCCACTAAATCTATTTGGTCAAACGCTGACAAGTACTGATGTTACTGTTGGACGTTTTGGGCGCGCGCAGCAAGGGACCGGAGGTTTGTTCAGCCAATCATTATTACAGCAGCATCAAATTAAACCTTCGTCCATCGTAGGTTTGTGTTCTTCCCAAGCTCAACAGAACGCAGGTGGTAGTTTATTTAACCTAAGTATTCAGAAGCAGCAAATAACAAATGGGGGAAACGTTTTTACCCAATCCACGCGATCTCAACAAATGCAAACTCCGCCGAATTTTGGCATGTACCAGAGCAACAAACAGGATGCGCAATCAGTTTTTGTACAGCAAAATGTTTTTTCACAACAAACCCCTGGTTGCATATTTGGTCAAGTGGCACAAACTACGTCTTCTGCCAACTTAATTTGTCTGGTAATTTTTCCCGGAATATTGTGAGTACTATAACCTTTTTATTATTATACTGCTTTTACACAGTTCAAGTATTGAATTCCATTTTGCTCGCATGTGGAAGAGAGGGGGTGAGAACAAAGGGGACGAGTACACATGCGTCTGTACCGTCAAGTCGTTTAAACTTTCTTGCTTTGCTTTTGGCATTTTCGTTGCTTCCCATTTAACGAACCAAACTTGAATTCAACAGAATTGAAACGTGTAAAAGCAAATAGAAAACACAAAGTATCTGAATCATGTAAATCGGGCGTAATGACGAAAGTCCATAACCATCCCTTGCGGTGATATGTAGGAGAGCGCTGCATGAATGCATTCAAACGGCGTATGAATTATTCATATACAAACGAATGAATAATTTTAGCTTAAAATTTTTATTTTTTTTTTTTTTCAATCTGAGTGAACAGCTGTTCAGATATATGTGTCGACAAAGTGAAAATAAATTGAATTGATATAAATGTCAACTCTTTGTATGAATATCCAGAAATATTTTTTTCTTCGTACATATGTACAAACATACATATGAGTGAACAGCTGCTCAGATATATGTGTCGACAAGGTGAAAATAAATTGAATTGATATAAATGTCAACTTTTTGTATGAATATGCAGAAATATTTTTTCTTCGTACATATGTACAAACATACATATGAGTGAACAGCTGCTCAGATATATGTGTCGACAAAGTGAAAATAAATTGAATTGATATAAATGTCAACTTTTTGTATGAATATCCAGAAATATTTTTTCTTCGTACATATGTACAAACATACATATGTATGTATGTATGTATTGCTGCGCTCCTATTACATACGAGAAAACTTGTGTGCCGAAATGAGTTTGAATGATTTAAATGTTTTCCATTCATTCAGTCACATTCTTCCATTTAAAGGTAGACAATTTAAAACAAAATGTATATTCATAACTTACAAAATTCCAAACGCTGAGTATTTTGTAAGTGAAGTAAAATATTCAAATGTACTGTACTCTGTTTGGCTTGAAGTTTGAATGAATTCATGCAGCCCATATACATATTATGTAGGCAATTCTTCGATATAAAGATTGCGACACAATTGTATTAATTCCGCAAGGTTAGAAGGAATAAAAACATGTAGGCAACTTACCGCTCCTCCCAACCTTTTTATCCGAAAGCTTCTAATAAAATATACTTTAAATAAAATTAAAGGAATCTTGAATATTTTTTGAATTTGGTGGACGTAGTATATTATGTTCGCGCAAACTCCATTCGTTTATAATGATTTCCTGGGGTACGTGTGTGTGTGTATACATATCAAAAGCACGTTGTAACGTTAATTATAGCGTTTACCAAAATAAACCAATCGTTTCTGTTGAGACAATTCAGTTTCTTATCATTTAGGTAATTATCAAAATAATTCTATTCTTGTTTTTAACGAAAAGAAACGAAATTATTTTGATAAGTTATTTTTGCGCATCAACAAAACGAAATCGATTCATATAGTTTGTTGAGCATCTCGCAGTAATGATTTATATTCGTATGATAAAGTGGACTGTATTATGTTGCGAATTGTGGTTGTGGAATAAGTTAGGCTTTTACGAAATGGAGTCGTTACTTGGTTGCGATTCGCTGTGTTGTTGATCACAGGGGGGTAGTAGAACCAGCTTGACTACAGGTCTAGTAACCTGTCCTCTTTCAGTCATGAGGTCCACTACTCTTGCCCTATTGTCTGCACCTAGATGAACGTTAACTACCCTTCCGAGTCTCCATTCGTTTGGCGGCAGGTTATCTTCTCTGATGATCACGAGGTCTCCAATTTTCATATTGGCTTGCGGATATCTCCATTTGTTGCGTTTCTGCAATTCCGTGAGATATTCACTTTTCCACCGTTTGCAAAACGTGTGGTGTAGAGCCTTGAGCCTCTGCCATCGATTTACAATCGAGGCACGATTTTCATCAGCGTCTATTTCTGGTGGAGCTAGTATGTGTCCACCGATTAAGAAGTGGCCTGGAGTCAGTGGCTCCAGGTCTCCTGGTTGATTTGATGAGGGACTCAGGGGTCGAGAGTTGACACAGGATTCAACTCTGCATAATAGGGTTGTAAATTCCTCAAACGTGTATTTGTGTTTGGAAGCAATTTTCGTAAAGTGGCTTTTAAAACTTTTAACTCCCGCTTCCCACAGTCCGCCCATGTGGGGAGCTGAAGCGGGAATGAAGTGCCACGAAAGCATTTGGTGAGCGTATTTCGCCAAAGTGTTATCGCGGGCGTCTTTTAAAAAGGCTTTTGTTTCGGCTCTCAGAGCTCTAGAAGCTCCCACAAAATTGGTGCCGTTGTCGGAATAGATATTTTTTGGACAGCCTCGTCGTGCGATGAACCTGGCAAATGCTGCTAAAAACGACTGAGTGCTCAAGTCCGAAGTGGCTTCCAAATGGATTGCCTTTGTTGCGAAGCATACAAATAGGCAGACATATCCTTTTGACATGCGACAACCTCGGCCACTATAACTTTTAATGTCAAATGGCCCTGCGAAGTCGACTCCCGCATTTGTAAACGCTCGCGAAAATGTCGTTCTT